CACGCACGCACGCACGCACGCACGCACGCACGCACGCACACACACACACACACACACGCACACACGCACGCACGCACGCACGCACCACGCGCACACACACACACACACACACGCACGCACGCACGCACGCACGCACACACGCACACACACACACACACACACACACACACACGCACACACACACACACACTGCACCCAGTAAGTGCTTCTTCCGACGAGAACTAGTCTGTCCCCCTTCCCTCCACCAACGCCTGGGTGAACCGCCCCCCCCCCTCCCCTGCGATTTGTGTTTGCACACTTCTTCCGCACGAGTGCTCATTCCATACATCCTATAAAATTCTCTCGCCCAGCGACGCCAACCCCTCAGATACTATGCAGTGTTAGCCAGCGGGGTCCCCATACAGTAAATTCGTGAAGCGTGGATGTAAAAGCCATGCGGAATGAGCTACGCGCTGTAGGCTATGGTGTGTGAGCTGATCACAGCAATCTATGGGGGAGGAGGAGGAGGAGGAGGAGGAGGAGGAGGAGGAGGAGGAGGAGGAGGTGTGGGCTTCTGGTGTGCGAGCCGTGCGGTGTAAGCTACGTTGCCCGCCCAGGGCGGGCGCCCACGGGCTGGCTGGAATGTGGCGAGGCCCCGTGGGACCCACCCAGCAGCACACGGGGCGCCCTCGAGGCGCCCACGAGGCGCCCACGGGCGGGAACGTGGCGAGAGGCACGAGGCGCCCACGAATCGCCCACTGGCGCCCACGGGCGGGGCCGTGGGAGAAGCCGCGGCGGACCAACAGCATCGCTTCGAAATCGACGTGAAGAGGCCTTGGGTGTTCAAACGAATGGCTGCAGTGCATGTGCGATGATCTACGAGGCGACTTTGCGACAGTCCCTCTCGAAGGTTTGCCAGCGTGGACCCCAAGCAGTGTGTTCTGGTCTGCCGGGTGGTGATCGTTTTTGTTATTCATTGTTTTGCCGATCGGCGCGGGCCCTCCCCCCCCAATGGAGTAGATGTTGGTTGTTTTGGGCGCCTGTTTCGAGCAGGTGGGGCCTCCCCCATAATGGGCGCACTGCTGCAAACAGTCGCACTAAGCAGAGGCCCTGAGTCAGATCCCCCCCTCCCCCCTTCTTCCTCCCAATGTCGAAACGCCGACGCCGAATACAAAGAACGCTCACAAGAAACGCGTCGCTCTAAGTGCAAGCGCTGCCTGGGGAGTCGGCCATGCGGGCCACGCGCGCGCGACCCCGCGCGCCGCGCCCATATAGCAAGTCCTCGAAGTCGTTGGCTGTCTGACCATTGGCTGCAAGGTGCAGGATGTCAATGGGGGAGGCCACATGCCAAAGCATGTTCGGGCTTTCCTTGCCAGCAGCTGTCAGAATGCATTCGGCGCGCGCGCGCTCGCCGAACCCGGCTGAAGGCTACAGGTGCTGTTGGCCGCTCTGCCACGCGAAGCCCTGCGGGCCACGCTCTGCACATGTCGAAAACCTGCCACAATCGCCGCGCACCCGCCAGCTCCGTTCAATCATACCGCGCGCGCCACACGCGGGCGTCTCCGACCGCGCACGTCGAATTCCGAATTTTGTCGCGCGCGCGCGCTCTTCCTCGCCAGTCGGATCGGGCGAAAGGGGGGAACGGAAAGGGGGGGATACGACATTTGCTGCGTGCAGCTGGTTTCGGCCCCGCCGCCGGGCGTTTTCCTTGACACATGCGGGCGCCTCCGAAGCTGGGAGGCGCCAGAGAAACCAGCTACGTGAGCTGATTGGTAACCCCCCGTTGCTATCCTTTCTTTTCACCCGACCCGACTCATCCTCTTCAGCACCACCGTTTTCATAATCGGCAGCGTCATCCCTACCTCCTCATCACTACCGCCATGATCACCATCGTCATCGTCGACGCCATCATCGTCATTGTCAGCCACCGCCGCCATCATCGTCGTTGTCAGCTGATGTTGGCGCCACCGTCACCACTCGCCCGCCCGAGTCACGGAGTTGCATGACCAGGGTCCGTGCGTCACCGTGTCGCGCGAGTTTCGCGAGCGCGTTCCGACGTGTAACCGCTCCCACGGCCCAGTTGAGGTTTGTCAAGTTTTTCCAGCACGTTGCTATCTCGAGCATGGGCGGTGGCCACGCGCCGCGGCCACGCGCCGCAGCCCACACTTGGCTGCACGCCTCACATCGCTTGCACCACAGCTTACTCCACGCAGCCCGCACAACACAGGTCTTGCATCACACCTGCTCGGACACATATGGAGCGGATCTCACAGGGCACACGACGCGCTGTGCACGTACCGCACCACACGTGCTGTACAGCGAGGGCGTCAGCATTCCACAGTCTTGGGGCCCACGCTGGCAGGCGGGCAGCAGCCGCTCGACCGCGCTCGGCGGATGAGGAGGAGGAAGCGCCCTCCGTCCGTGCGAGTGGCGTGCTGCGCCGGGACTCCTGCTGGTAAAAGAGGGACCGCCCTTAGTGGGCCCTGGAAACGACAGGGCCGTTTTTGTCACCGGTTCCGTTTTGCCGTTTTTGTTGCCGGTTCCGACGCCGTTTTTTTTCCGGTTCCGTCGCCGTTGTCTGACCGGTTCGGGCTCCGGGTCCAATCCTGGGGCAGTTTTTGTTGCCGTTTCCGGTCGCCGTTTATTTGCCGTTTCCATTTTCAAGGGACATTTTTTTGGAAACGTTGAAAACATGGCCCTGCCGTTTCCGGGGCCCACAAAGGACCGCCGTCCATCCGTATAACCTGCTGCGCGCGGAGTGTGCGCGGTGCCGCAGGCGGAAGCCAGCGACCTCTGACTCCGCCCGTGCAGCTCTTGGGGCCCATGGTGACGAGGGCCCTCTTTGGGTCGTTCCAGAAGCCATCGGCCACGAGGAGGGCGGTCCGAATCAGTGTTGCCCCTCGGGAGTGGGAACATCTCCTCGTAATCTCGTTTTGGATGCCATGCGGAACCTTCGGGGCCATCCTGGGCAGCATCGGGGCCAGTATTGGGGGTCTCTTGGACGATACCGGGGCTCTCTACAGGCCTCAATCGGAGGCGAAAAGGCAAGAAGGCACGCATCATTCAAGAACTTGCATCTCGGTGACTTGGTGATTTTGGCATCTCGGCGACATCCTTGGACGGCTGCATGGCTACCTTGGACCGTCTGGCGGCGGTCATCCTCTCACCCTCCTTCTGCTCCTGTCTTCTCCCTCCTGCTAGCCCCGTGACTCGCAAGCTGCGGAGCCTGCGGGCAGGGGCTGCCCGCCACTCTTCGGCAGCACGCGGGTCCAAAGCGATGTTTTCAAGCAGCGAGTGGAGGCAGATTGGCCCATATGGGTGTTTGACCTCCTCCTCCTCCTCCTCCTCTTCATCCTCCTCTATATTGTCGTCGTCCTCCTCATCCATCGTCGTCGCCCCCCTCCGCCTCCCTGTTCGAGCAGCTGGTTGGGGCACGGTGGCCTCTATCGCTGTTCGTCGCCGTCCTCTTCCTCCTACCTCGCCGCCCTCCCTTGTCGTCGTCCTCCTCCTCCTCCTCGCAGACTGCCCCGAGGGCCGAGCGACACTCTCGCCTGCGGGGTGTCCGGAGGCGGGGCGCTTTCTGCCTCGGCGGGCCTGCACGGACGGCGGAGGCGGCGAGGCCAGGCAGACTCGAGCCCACCTCGCCAGGAGCGACAGGGGAGGGTTCCTGAGGGAGGAGGGAGGAGGGGAGGGACGGGGAGGGGAGGGGAGGCAGGGGAGGGGAGGGAATGGAGGGAAGGAGGAAATGGGGATGGGAGGGTAGGGGAGGGGAGGGGAGGGAGGGAGGAGGGAGGAGGGATGATGGGGAGGGGAGGGGGAGGGGATGGGGAGGGGAGGAGATGGCAGGAGGGAGGAGGGCCCTCGACCCCGAGGTTTTCCTTCCCCCAGCAGCAGCCCTCCCTCCCGAGCCGCGGGTCCGACCGCCCCCCGCGGCCCGCAGCCGTTGTGGCTCAAGCGTTGTCCTGCGCTTGCAGCAGCTTCTCTTCACAACGGCATATAGCTGCTGCGAGCCAGATTGGCTCGTTTTGGTTCCTCATTCAGTTCGCGGGATCTCAACCCGCACGCGTTCACGATTATCCCTTCGGCCAGGCCATGGCGAGGAAGGGCGGAGGAGGAAAGGGTGTGGTCTCTTGGGCGCCGTGGCACCGCAGTTGGTCGCAGCCCCATCCGCCAGATGGAGGTGGGACAGGCAAAGGCGCTGTCCGCCCGCCGAGGCCCCGCGATCCCAAGGTCTGGCCCCCGCTCGTCCCTGGCCCTCAAGACCATGGTGGTGATGGTGGTGGCGGCGCTCATCATTCTGCCCCTTCCCGTTGGGAATGTTTGCTGTGTGGATGTCGCCGCAACGAGCACCGCTTCTACTACTGCAAACACTGTGGTGGCCTCAAGTCGGAGTCTACATACCTCAGTGGCGCATGGGCTTCGGGGAAGTCGCCCCTCGAGTTCTTCAAGGGCACTCAGGTCGGTGGAGGCAAAGGTGCCAGCGGCAAGGGCTCGGGTGTCGAAGGAGGCTCGAACACTACGGCGTCTGCTCCGTCTTCAAAGCTCTCTGTGGAGGAATATCTGCGGATGGCCGCTTTGTGCGAGAAGGCAGGCGATCTCCACGGCGCTCGAGGTTACAGGACAGCGGCTCAGGCGCTCCAGGCGCCAGAGCAGCACCAGGTCCCCTTGCAGGCGAAGCTCAACCGCGCACACCAGCAGGCTCGTGCAGTGGAGAAGAAACTCAACAGTGCCGTGGAACGTTTCGAGCAGCTTGAACAGCAGCTGGCAGCACAGAAGTCCCACGTGCTTCAGCTCAGGGCGGATCTGGAAGCCGCAGAGGCCGAGCACAGCGGCCTGGTGCGCCAGCTGCACAACCAGCTCCCAAACGGTCAGTCGCAGTCTGCAGTCGCTCCAGGAAACAAGCTCAGCCTCGAAGACTTGCTGGGCGAGCAGCGCTTCTCGGCGGCCTTCGACCTCGACGTGGGAGATTGCTTCAAGATCGTTGAGGACGAGGAATCACTCTCGCCTGATGAACCTCAGCAATTATCGGCGCGAGTGGACCTTTTCAAGACTGGCGTCGCGGACATGGCTAAGAATTTGTTCGCAGAGGCGAAGGCCAAGGGCGACGAGCTCAAAGCTGAACACAAGCAGTTGGCAGCGATAATGGCAGCCAAGAAGCGTCGCACAGGAGAGCAGGGTCAAGGTGTCGCTGGTGGTGACGCGGCTCCGCGCGCCCAAGGTGCTGGGGAGCAGTCCGATGACGGTTCGGCTCCAACTGGCGCGGAGGCGGCGCAGTTTCAGAGGCTTTATATTCGTTGACGGGTGCTGCTTCAGGCGCCAAGTCGCTGAGCTCTCGAGGGCGGGGTATGGTCTTGTTTTAGTCGACGACGCTGGCCACGAACGGTGCACGATGTACGTCCCCGTGTATGCGCCGTTCCTTCAGACTCCCCAATGCGGAGAGTTCGCGGCCCTGGCCAGAGCGGGGATCGAAGTCACGGGTCCGTCGTCTGTTTTTTGTGACTGCAAGAACGTGGTCGACCTTGCCCATGCCCCGAGGGAGTTGCAGGTTTCTTACGAGAGGCCCTGCGCTGGCCTTATGATGCTTTCTAACATCGGCGCCCCGCGGATCAGTGCTGTTTCGAAGGTGAAGGCTCACCTCGACCCTCACGAGGAGGGAATCGAGCCTGACGCGAGGTGGCGCCGTTTGGGCAACCACGCGGCGGACCCGGCGGCGAAAGCAGGGACCAACCTGCACCCTGCGGCCACGGGCGAGGAGCAGGAGGCTTTGACCTTCTGCATTAGGGTCGCTAAAGTTGTTTGCAAACTGGCGGCCAAAATCCTTCATCAGTGGCCTCGTCTGGGCCTCTCCAGCTGCCCCCGTGAGGCCTAAGTCAGCCCCAGCACAGCCTCGTCTGAGGCGACCCTTACGAAGGCTATGCTTGCGAGCCAACGTTGTTTCGTGCGCCAGGCCTCGCATAAATTTGTGTGTAGCCTATGCCACTGCATCGTTAACCAGAAAGACATTCTGGAGTCATGCGCGACGGGGTGCATGGTCGATCCGTCGGCGGGCCCTGGGTCCACGGACTCGGTTATCGATGAGTTTCGGTCGGTGGGAGGAGGGGTGACGCTGGGTGGGAAGCAGCTTCAGGAGTCTCATGCCCTCCGTTTCTGGCCGCGGCACTCACTTTATTTTGTGCGACTTGCGGCCGCACGGCGACGATCGCCCCGAGAAGTTTACTGACTCAACGCGAGCCTGCAGCACGGAAGGGCCTTCAGAACCTGGCCAGGATAGGCAAGAATATCTTTCCTAGTTACAGAGGGCCCTCAGACGTGGTGAAGGACGCAGAGGCGTCGAGGGTTCGCAGGGTGTTCGTCACCTCGCACACTTCGCCTGTAGGAGAGATGGTGAGCGTTCTGCCGCATCGCGGGGAGGACTCTGACAGCTCAGACTGACGGGGACGGCCTCGCAGGCACATGTATGTACCTGCTAGGCCCGAGGCGTCTACCTTGTTTTATCTCGCCGCCCTGCTAGTCTGTGTCCCTTTCGTTGGAGCGGAAGGCGGCGGGTCTTTGTTCGCTCTGCCCAGTCGGTCTTTGGCCGCATCTGGAGGGCCCGCCATGGGGGCACTGGCTCAGGGTGCGAGATGGGCCCACACCTGGGGCAGTTCAGGGGCCGTCCAGGCGTCCGCCTTCAAGGTTAGGTACACCTGGGGTTTTCCTGGCTGTCGTCCTGGCGTCGCCCAATTATTTTCTGCTCGTTGTTTCAGTGTTGCCGAGTGTTTCTCCATGCATACCCCACATCTGGGGCGAGGTTGGCGGTCGTCCTGGCGCTCGCTGCACCAGGGATTGCGAGTCTCGTCGTCCTTGTGCGGGCGGTCGTTTCTTCTTTCAAAATCTATCGTGATCATTCGCGTCCGTGGTGCGTGCGCTCTCGCGGTCGCTCGGCACGCGTGTCAGGCACCCCGCTCTGGGGGAAGGCGCATGGCACACACGTCCGTGTTGGTTTTCTCCCGAGCACGGGGGCTGTCTTTGGACGGCCCCGACCGTGGCTCGCGTAGTGGCGTCGCAGAGGCCAGGCTGCCTGGGCCTGGCCATCTCTTCGCTGGATTCTTTCACATACAGGTGTTTTATCTCGCCGCCCTGCTAGTCGTGTCCCTTTCGTTGGAGCGGAAGGCGGCGGGTCCTTGATCGCTCTGCCCAGTTGGTCCTTGGCCGCATCTGGAGGGCCCGCCAAGGGGGCACTGGCTCAGGGTGCGAGATGGGCCCACACCTGGGGCAGCTCAGGGGCCGTCCATGCGTCCGCCTTCAAGGTTAGGTACACCTGGGTTTTTTCTTGGCTGTCGTCCTGGCGTCGCCCAATATTTTTCCGTTCGTTGTTTCAGTGTTGCCGAACTGTTATTCATTCTCGCGTCATGCGCGTCCGTTGTGCACAGGCTCTCGTGGTCGCTCGGCGCGCGTGTCAGGCACCCCGCTCTGGGGGAAGGCGCGTGGCACACGCGTCCGTGTTGATTTCCATCCGAGCACGGGGGCTGTCTTTGGACGGCCCCGGCCGTGGCTCGTGTCGCGGCGTCGCAGAGGCCAGGCTGCCTGGGCCTGGCCCTCTCTTCGCTGGTTTCTTTCACTTACAGGTGTTTTGTAACGTGCAGCCGTGGCCCGCTGGTGGGGTACCCGAGCTGCTGTGTTTCGTCGTGTGTCTCGGAGGCGCTCCGCCTCTTAGAGGCTCGCGCTGCGGCTGCCAGCTCCCCGCTCCCCAACCGCACCCGAGGGCACCGACTGACTGCCGCCGCGGACCTCAAAGGAGGTAGCCTGTGGCGGCAGTCCCTTACAGTCGAGGTGCTTGTTTGCGGGAGCTTGCGCCTTGTTTACTCATCCCGAGGTCCCGTCAAAAAAAAAGCCCCCCGCGGCCCGCGGCGGGCCTCGAGGGCCCGCTCCCTGGGGGACCCCCGGCACTGTCGCATGGCTTCGCATGTGCACCTCCCGCTCCTCCTCGTCGTCCTCCTCCTCGTATCCTCGTCGTCGTCCTCCTCCTCTCCTCCTCCCTCCTCCTCCTTCTCCTCCCTCCTCCTCCTCCTCTCCTCCGCCTCGCATCCTCGTCGTCCTCCTCCTCCTCCTCCTCCTCCTCCTCCTCCTCCCTTCCTCCTCTCCCATCCTTCCTCTATTCCTCGGCCCCTCCTCTTGGGGCGCAGCCAAACCCTCGCCTCCTCCTCCTCACTACTCCTCCTCGTCCTCCTACGCCTCCTACTTATCGTCCTCCTTGTCCTTCTCCTCTCTTCTCCCCTCCTCCCTCCTCCTCCTCCTCCTCCTCCTCCTCCTTCCTCCTCCTCCTTTTCCTCCTCTCCTCCTCCCTCCCTCCTCCTACTTCCTCCTCCTCCTCCTCCTTTCTCCTCCTACTCCTCCTCCTCCTCCTCCTCCTCCTCCTCCTCCTCCTCCTCTCTGGAAGTCTCAAGGCCCTCCCCAGGACCAGATGGGGCCAGGAACATGTCCCCTGCATTATGATATGTCCTTTTCACCACTTGGTGGCAAGTGCTGGCCCATAGACACCGTGCACGTGTGACTATTTGTTCAACCCCTGTCTCCCGGAGAACCAGGAAATTATGCAGTCATCCCGCATGGTAACGATTGGAAACCTTCCCAAGGTTACTCTTGCATCCTTCTCCTTCGGCCCATCCTGGGCCGCATTCGGTGGCCGCGCCCCGCTCGCAGAGTATCGACATGGCCCTCCGATGCGCTCGTGCGGCCTCCGGGGCCCGCTCCGCGGGGGGCCCCCGGCGCTTCCCCCGGCGCTGCCGGGGGCCAGGAACATGTCCACTGCACTATTCGGCTACACGTAAGGGTGACATTTTCGCCAGAGTGACACCTGGTGTGGGCCCAATGGGGCCCCCCGATCGCCGAACGCGAGGCGGTAGCAGCGGCTTGCGCGCCTGGCGGTGTCCCCAAAGGGCCCCCCTTGGCCGCGCATTTAAGGTCACTCTTGCCGAGGGTCGCTCTTGCGAAGCCGAATTGTGTCATGTTTGTCCACCACTTGGTGGCAAGTGGTGGCCCATACGCACCGTGCGCGTGGACCTATTTGTTCAACCCTTGATCTCTCCTAGAGAGAGCTGGCCAGAAGATCATACACTGCGTTGTTTTCTGGCGCTTCCTGCGAAGCCCCATGGGACAGGGCCCCAGATACCTAGGACCGTGGTGTTACATGTGCGCGCGGCTCCTGGCCAGTGTTTCATTCCGCGTCGTTTCCGTGACAGTCCTGGGTCCTGGCAGAAGCCCCCCCAGAGGCCGAAGATCGTGAAGGTTGGTCGTCGTTGGTTGTCCCTCGGCGCAAGGAGGCCTGGGAGCTTCGTCCATGCTAAACCCTCCCTCCCTTCCCCCCTCCTGCCTACGGTTGCAGCAACGTGATCGTGGCGAGGCCCGATGCCGTCCTCCTTGGCTGGGCTTTCGGTCACATTCGTAGGACGGCCTTGCGAGGAACATGATAATTGCCAGCACGCTTGGCGAGGCGAGTTGTGTATATTATCGCGGTCCGCTCCCATCTCCTGCTCCTCCAAGAAAGAACCAAACACCTCCTCCCTCCCGCCTCGAGGCATGGCGGTGCCCGCCGGGGCCATGCCAGCCGGCATGGCGCAGGGCCCCAACGGACAGCAGGCCACCCGTAGATGACGGCGCCGCCGACGACAACGACGCTGACGCCAACGACAACGAAAAAGACGCCGACGACGATGGCGACGCTGACGCCGACGACGAAGAAGACACCAACGACGATGCCGACGATGTCGCCGACGATGTCGCCGACGCTGACGCGACGACACCGACGATGATGATGCCGACGACGAGGACGAGCTCCTTCTCCTTCGCGGAGGAGAGGTCGCCCTGAAGGAGGAGAGGGGCCCTCACGGTAACGGGTCATGCTTTTCCTTCCCGCTCTCAGGATCCAGGGGATTTTTCCAGGTCGCGAGACCGTCGAGCAAACGCCTCGGGTCTAGATCCCGTTTCTCTCGGGGTTGGCTTCTTTACCGACCAGGGAGGGCGAAGTGAGAGGAGGGATACAGTTGGCACTGTGTACATGGGATCGATCCGCCAGCGGGTGCCACCCGGGAATTTTCTGACCCCCCGATGGCGCCGGGAACCCACAGAAGCCCCAGGACATTTGGACGCATGGTCCATCGTACAGGAGGCAGGGAGGAGGAGGAGGAGGAGAAGGATGAGGAGGAGGAGGAGGAGAAGGATGAGGAGAAGGATGAGGAGAAGGATGATGATGATGATGATGATGATGATGATGATGATGATGATGATGATGATGATGATGATGATGAGGAGGAGGAGGAGGAGGAGGAGGAGGAGGAGGAGGAGGAGGAGGACGAGGAGGAGGAGGAGGAGGAGGAGGAGGAGGAGGAGGAGGGAGGAGAGAGGGCGGTCTCCCGCCAGGAGGATGAGGCGAGGGAGATAGAGGGAAGGAGGGGAGATGAGGGAGGAGCGAGGAGGACGAGGAGGAGGAGGAGGAGGAGGAGGCGGATGTCCCTCTCATCCTCCCCCCCTCCTTCATCCTTCGTCCGTGTCCCCCCTCTCCTCTGCCTCCGCCTGCTGCTCCTCGCCCCTCTGTCCCTCCTGCTCCTCTTCCATATTGCTGATCGCGCTCCTCCCCTCCGCGTGCCCTTCGTCCTCCTGCTTCCTCTTTCCTTCCCCTCCGCTCCCCTGCTCTGCTACCGTCTCCCTCCGCCTCCCTCCCCCCTCCTCATCCCCTGATCGCCCCCTCCGCATCCTCCCCCCTTCCTCCACGCATCCTTCTGCTCGTCCCCTTCCTTCCCCCCGTCCTCCCCCTCCTTCGCCCCGTCCTGACCCTCCTCCTCCGCCGCCCCCGTCAGCCTTCTTCGCTTCCCTCCTGCCCCGTCGCCCTCA